TCTAACTTAATCTTAAAACCAGACAGGTCCTTCGCCCCCACCATTTCCCAATTGTCTTTGATCTAGTTGATTTTCATTCTAGTTTCTTAGCCGATGCCCTCTACTCTTTTTGAATTAGTTTAAGCTTATTGTAGCATTCCCTCATTGGAAGGTTTTAAATACAGGGTTGACAAACTCCTGTCAGGGACAGGACCAAGACAGGGTCTAGGTTTACTTGGTCCTGCTATAATATAGAGCCTGGACTTGATGACTTCTTGAGGTACCTCCTAGCCTTACATTTCTATGATTGTCAGCGTTCCTGATGATTTTCTGTCATTTCCAGTGTGTTCTGCCTTCAGAGGCTTTCTGTGCTATATTTTCGATATAACAAAAATGAGATACAAGTGGCAGGAACCTAAAATGAAGTTAATACACTTTTTTTATGAACCTTACTAACTGACCATTTACAGAAGAGATTCCCATAACTTTATATTACTATATAGACACTATGATAGCTTTAAAGTTTCCTAATGCAAGTGTATACGAAGCTGCCTGCTTTGAACATAAATTTCATAAACGGTTAAACAGCCAGGAAAGCTTAGCGGATTTAAGGAACCAATTTTATGCTGGTGACAAGTGTTCTTTTCCTCTATCCCATCTCCTTCACATGGAAGTTCTGAATGGAAGACTGGAAAAACCTTTAGTTAATACACCAACCATCCATGCATTAGATAGGCAGGCTTTCCTGAGGCCTCTTGGGAGATTGCTGGAGAGTGTTTCAGTGCTGGGTTGTCTAATGCTAACAGCATAACTGAAGGATGGTGTGTGGAAAGACTAAGTCAGAAAAGCATAGCTTTAGATTGAAAAATACAGTGCAATTTGGTGTCAGGAACCAGCTGTCACCTTGAGTAGGTGGGAGAGAGGAAAAGCAAACTGGTTGCTATTCATTAGTGATGTCAGATTAAAAGGATGCTGATGTCAGAGCTGAAGGGAGGGCAGGAGACCAAGAGGTTGCAAAATAAAGCAGGTGGAAAGTAGCTATGGCAGGTTGCTTCTACTGTTGCTACCTTGGAAGAAAAGAAAAAACAGTTGTTAACCTCTGTTGTGGTGCCTAGAAATTCAGTTAGATTGCAGTGGAAGAGTTTAAGAGTGGAAATGGTTGCAAGGGAATGACAGAGGTGGGTGACAGTCTTACTTATTTTTCAGTTAAAATGTGTCTGGCCACAGGCAAAAGCCTGAATAGATGGGCACTTCATCCTTCCCTGAAGGACAACACTTTGATGTGTTGGACTGAGGAGAAACACATTCTAGAGGCAAGAGCATATTGAGCATGGTGTGTCTGAGCACCTGTTCCAACCCCCCCAGAGTGAACACACACACACCCACAGGAAAAGTACAGTGGATATAACCAGGGAAATATTTATTTACAGAGGGATGAGAGGAGAAAAACAACAAGGGGAAATATAGGGGAGGGGGAGCAGTAAAACAGGGCTGCATCCAACCCAAGGTCCCACGGACCCAGTGGTAGCGCAGTCTGGAACGGCAGACATTGAGCAATGTGCCTGCACACAGAGTTCAGGAGTCCTGAGCAAAGTTCCAATGCAGTGGTGAGTCTTGAGTGCTCCTGGTCGTCTTCGGCGCCAGTGAACTTTCCCTCAACAAACCCCTCCGGAGCCCTCTTCTGCCGCTCTCTGCAAAGCCACACAGAGCGACCACCTCCCCACTTAACTAACCTCCCTCCTTGTTCCTAATGCAGAGTCAGAAGCCCCAGTACTTACAGCCCCATGCAGCTCTGGGCAGCTGTGATACTGGGTCCAGCTCCAGCCTGTACTTCTCGGCAATTCCTCCCTGGCACAGTGCTCCTCCTGGGGTGTCCCTGATCGGCCCTGTCCGTCTCAGGCCTCGGGCAGGTTCTCTGCTGCTTCACTTTTCCAGGGCCTGCAGGCTGCCTCTGCCTCTCCCTCTCCTTGGAGCTCGCGTGCTGCCCCCTGGAGTTTCCCTCCTTTTTTCTTACTCTCCCCCTCCCCCTTAGGAAAAAGATTTAAAGGGCCATGCTCTCTAAACCCCAAAGGGGTTACATGTGATTTTAGTGTAAGTTGCACATTATTTGGGGATTTTCATAGCACCTCAGTTACTACAATCCTCTGAGTAGGTAAAAATCTTTCATTAAAAAAAATATTCTAGCCCCCATGTTTATAGATTTCAGAGTAGCAGCCGTGTTAGTCTGTATCCGCAAAAAGAAGAACAGGAGTACTTGTGGCACCTTAGAGACTAACAAATTTATTAGAGCATAAGCTTTCATGGACTACAGCCCACTTCTTCGGATGCATATAGAAATTAAAAAAACTATATGCATCCGAAGAAGTGGGC